CCTTAATTGCAAGAGGATTTGAGTAAAGGAATCGTGAAGTCTTCAGTTGCGTAGAAGCTTAGTTAAACTGCACTTAGACTACTGTAAATAGTTTTTGTCTCATCACCTCAGGAAGGATATGATTGCCGTTGTAGGAGTGCAACAAAGGTTCATCATACTTGCTGCTGGCATAACAGTACTGTCCTGTGAAATGAGATTAGGCACACTCGGCCTGTGTTCTCCAGTGCTTTGAAGAATCAGCTAATTTCATTGAAAGCAACAAAGTACTGAATGGGCCGGGCAGAGTAGATGCAGATAAGATTTCACCCCCTATTGAGAGTCTAGAACCAGTGGGTCCAATTTAAAAATTATGTGAATGTCATTTAGGACAGAGATAAGGAGAAAGTTTTTTAGTCAGATTAAAATCACACAGTGGTGAATCTAGAATTTTCAACCTCAGAGGTTTGCAAAAGCTCAGTTTTTATTGTACTAAAGGTAAAAACTGATAGATTTTGGATTGACAGTGACATACAGGCATATGAGATAGTTTGGGTAAAAGGTATTGAAGTGTTTGATCATCCAAGATCATACTAAGTAGCAGAGCAGGCTGGATGGGCTGAATGGCCTATTCTTGTTCCTGTATTCTGTGGAATTCCCCAGAATTGACATTTAGCCAATTTTTCGTAAAATTCAGCCACTCATTTTTCTGTTCTTGTCATATTTTCCTGACAGTCTTGCCATTGCCCATATCATTTAGGGGTTGAGAAAATTCTGGCCCTTTCCCAAAAAAGAGGCCCACAACTTAACAAGCATTACTGAGCAATCAACAAGCTGGCCATTATTTAGAAAGATTAATCAACATTGTCTTCATCAACAAGGCATTTGTTTTCTAGCAGAAATGATAATATCTACAAGTTTTTGAATCAAGGTTTCTTTCTTTGTATTTTGAATTATTTTTAGTTTCACTAGTTTTATTCCAAGCCCAAAGGAATTTGAAAGTTGTGAAATGTGTTTTGGATAAAAAGAACATTTATTCTGTTAAATGAAAACTGTGCTACATTTTCATAAAAATATACTTGTAATGTTGCAACCATCTACAGGGTGTTTCATTAGAATGGGAAGTGGGTGCACTTGCAAATTAGAGTGACTGTGAGGCAGCAGAGAGAAGATGGTGGCACTACTGTCAAGGAAAACAGATGGTTATCAACCTACACATTGCTGAGTATTTTGCCAGACCACGGACACTGCATTGACCTCGCTGGTAGGGCCTGTTGCTATCATGTCCCCTGGTGGTCCTGAGGAAAGTGGATGGTTCTCTTTTGAACCAACTGATCCACCAAGTGGCAAATAGATAGTTAATTTCCCTTTCTCAGCCATCTTTGAGGCAATTCCTCATGCATAGAAATCCTGCGAGGTCCCAGCAGTGGTGAGTACATCCACTGTTGGCTATTGCAAAATAGCACATGTGAGTTGTCATAGAAGCGTGGTGCAAATGAGGAGAGCTATGGAGAATGGCATGAGATAACTACTTGGAGCCCTCACAGAGAAACCCTTTATGAAATTCCAAAAGTTGATGCTTAGTGGATGTTTTTTGTAAGTTACTTGAGTAATAGTAATGACTAAATGCATGCAAGGATGAATTGCAGATAAGGATTAAAGATATTTACAAAGATGAAATCTATTCAGTTCTTTAGGATAGTTATGGGCTTGCAATTTGTAGTTGAAATTTTGGTTGTTTGGAGTAAAGGCTTGAAGTTAAATTGTGTTCAGCAGCTGTGATGGTTTTGGTAGTCGAATAGTCAACATTTGCCTTTGTAAAGAGAATCAGACTCACACTAAGTGGCTTGAGCAGCTTCTGGGGCACAAGTGAAAGTCCCTTTTCCTTATTGGTTCTGCTGGCTGATAACTGCCAGATTCGTTTATCTTTTGTTGTTTGGCTTTTTAAGTCAAACCTGAAAACTTTGGTTTAGGAAAGACTGGACGAAGAGAAGGCGAAAGCTCCTGTAAAACCCTAATTAATGCTTAATTTAAATATCAGCTCTACATGGTAATCTGAGAGATACTATGTTCAGAACTTAGTGTTACATTAAGGGTTTATTATCTACATTTGGTATCTTCCACCTTTGATCTATCTACTTGCTGTCTAATTAGCCATGCCTGTACTGTGCTGTTTATACATTGTGGGAAACAGTTCCGTGACATCATCATATGATTGCTGTATTGTCTTTGCACAACACTTTTCAGCAGCGCATCTTCCTTTGTAACTCCTGATTGTAGAAGAAACCCTGACTCTAACATGCATTGTCACAACGCTAATGCAGTTCATCTGAGATTGGCAGGTGGAGCTGTCTTCCCTAACCCTAACTCTAACCCTACCCTGAGCTGTCTGTTAATCAGGAATTTATTTAATCAGGAGTTTACGCTAGATTGGCCTTTACTGCAAGAGGATTTGAATTCAGAAGTAGGGATTCTTACTGCAGTTATACAGGCCTTCCCTACCTAAGGAAGGAAATACTTGCCATAAAGGGAGGACAGCAAAGGTTCATAGGCTGTTAACAGGGATGACAGGACTGCCAGATGGTGAGAGATTGGTTCGACTGGGCCTATATTCACCAGAGTTTAGAAGGATGAGAAGGGATATGATTGAATCATATACAGTTCCAACATGGCTATATACACTTGATGCAGGGAAGATCTAGTCTAGTTTTCCCTGCAAGTATAGAACCTGGGGACACAGTTTTAGGATATAGGAAAGACTGTTTAGGACTGAGATGAGGAAATGTTTCTTCACTCAAAGGGTAATGAACCTGTGGAATTCCCTATCACAGAAGACTGTGGAAACCAAGTCACTCAATATATTCAAGAACTTTAAACTTAAAGTTTTTTTTGGATTTTAAAGGCATCAACGAGTATGGGTAGAAAGCAAGAAAATGGCATTGAAATAGATAATCAGCCTGGTCATATTGAATAGGGATATGATGTCATCGCTGTCACTGCAATGTAGTTGAGAGAGGGACAGGATTAGCAGCTCAATATTCCAGGATACAGAGTCTTCAGGTCAGACAGGGAAGGACATTAAAGAGGAGGGCATATTGCAGGATTGATCATGGAATCAATAAGGAGGGATGGCATCTTAGAAGGCTCCTCAAATTAAGCCATTTGGGTAGAACTTAAAAACCAGAAATGTGGGAAAGCATCCAAAACGGAATTAGGGAGAGTACAGAACCAACATATTCCAATAAAGGGTGGGACCAACAAATACGACAAACCTTGGATATTGAGGGATATCTAGATTTGGATAAAGTGAAAAAGGGAGGCTGACGGCAGATACCAAGGGATCAAAATACTTGAAGCCCTAGAGTAGTACAGAATGTGAAACAAAAAACTTATAAAGGAATTTAGAAGAGGGTAATGGCCGGCAAAATAAGGAAAAATCGTAAGTTATTTTTCAAAAAGGATAACTAGGGAAAGAGTAGGGCCTATTAGGATTACAGTGGCATTTGTACATGGAACTGGAGGATATAGATAGGTTCTAAATAAGTACTTCGTGTCAATATTCACGAGTGAGAAGGATGATGTGAGTATAGAAATCAGGGAGAAGGTTGGGCTATAATTAAAGAAGTTAGCATCGAGAGGAAGTTCTGAGTGGTCTGGCAGGCTTAAAAGTACCTCCTGGACTTGATGAAATGCGTGCAAGGAGGTCGAGTGAGGCAAGAGAGGCTATAACAGGGATGCTGGCTATAATTTTCAGGCCACAGGAAAGGTGCCAGAGGATTAGAGCACAATCAGTGTGTTACCATTATTCAAGAAGGGGACAGGAATAAATCAGGAAAGTGCCAGCCAATCAGTCTAACCTCGGTGGTGAGGAAACTATTGGAAACAATCTGAAGCACAAAATTAATCTGCTTTTGAAAAGTTCCCGATGGTGAAGATAACAGCTCAAGGAAATTTAGCTAATTCAATCTAGAGTTGGCTGAGTGGCAGGAAGCAGAGCTTTAGATGAAGGATTTTTTTTTGATTGGAAGCCTGTGTCCAGTGAAGTTCTGCAGGGTTCAGTGGTAGGGCCGTTGCTGTTTATGATATATATAAATGATTTCAACTTGAATGTAGGAAGGTTGGTTAGTAAGTTCACAGATGATACGAAAATTTTTGGGGTGGGAAAATAGTGAGAACGATAGCCTTAGATTACAGGAGTATGTAGACACACTGAACATCTGCAGAGAGATTGGATACACTGGGGTTGTTTTTCTTGGAGCAAAGAAGAGTTAGGGATGACATGATTGAAATGCATAAAATTATGAAGTGCATAGGTAGGGTAGACAGGAAGGGAGTTTTCCCTTGGTGGAGAGATCAGTGACGAGGGGGCATAGCTTTAAGGTAAGGAACAGGAGGATTAGAGGGGATATGAGGATTTTTTTGTTCACTCAGAGGGTGTTGGGTATCCGGAACTCACTGCCGCCATGGGTGGTAGAGGCAGAAACCCTCAGAATATTTAAGAAATATTTAGATGTGCACTTGTGATGTCAAGGCATACATTGCTCTGGGCCTAGTGCTTGAAAATGGAATTAGAATAGTTTTTGACCCGTGCAGACTCAATGGGCCAAAAGGCCTTTTTCTCTGCTCTGGACATATATGACTCCATGAATGGTGAACAGGTTCAAAGGCTTCCATTCATTTAGATCTGGTGAGATAGTAAAGAGCTAATCACATTTCCAAGGAAGCCATTGTAAGGGACCTTGTGCTTTTGCTTATGGAAATGTTCGTTAAATTTCAGATATCTTCACGTGTCTGTGTATTGTCATTTTGTAATTCTTCTTGAGACACGTACAGTCTTGATTCTTTCGGTTGGCTAATCACAATTGTACCCATAAGAGAAGTTGAATGACTTTTAAAGATACATGTTTAGAAGCATCTTTGAATCCAATTTTTAAAAAGGAGATTGGTTTGTTGCAAAATTAATGGTACTATTATACACTTTGTACACTAAAATGATCAGTACTTGACATTTTTCTTCTTTTCAGTTTTTGATGTGACTTAGGCCAAAGCTTCCAAAAGCTTATGAAATGGAACTGAATGTAAAAGCCATGAAACTTGTCCTGAACAGTTTTTTGTTGCTGCTGCTCCAAGAATTCAGTACAGCTGTGAAGGATGATGTAAGATCTAGTAAGGAACTAAGATTTTCTCCTAATTTTTATTTGCGTGCGGTATTTAGCTCGTCAGTTTGATGAATGGCATTGTTAGGCAGTAGAACATTTTTCTACTTTGTGCCCCAGATACAAGGTTTAATATTCTTTGGTCAAAGAAAGTCAACATGAGATTTAATATAGACCTCACTTTACTGAGCATGGTACTAGAAAAAATTGATGGAATAATTTTGTTCATAACTAACTTATGTGACCATCATCTTTTCTATTAGCTTTGTAGATTCTTCAGAGTTAACAAATGACCTGAAATGTGCATATTTGGATAGATTTTAATTGTAAAGTGAAAATATTATTTAGAAGAAAGTTGGATTATCGTTTCAGGTCTAAACACACACAGAGTTATACAACATGGAAACAGACCCTTCGGTCCAACTAATCCATCCCTACCATGTTCCCAAACTAAGCTAGTCCCACCTGCCCGCATTTTGTCCCTGTTCATCCAACCTTTCTATTCATGTACCAATCTGAACGTCTTTAAATGTTGTAACTATACTTGCATCCACCACTTCCTCTGGCAGTTCATTCCGCACACCAACGACTCTCTTAGCTTAAAAATATGCCATCTACTTTTGAACTCTCCCACCTTAAGGAAAAGAGCTTTGATATTCGCCTTCTCTGTGCTCCTGATGATTATATAAACTTACATAAAGGTCATCCCCCAATCTCCTACGCTTCAGTTAAAAAAGCCCCAGCCTATCCAGCCTCTGTTTACAACTCAAACCCTCCATTCCTGCCGAAATCCTGGTGAATCTTTTCCGAACCCTCTCCAGTTTAATAATATCCTTTCTTTAACAGGGCAACCAGAACTGAACACTGTACTCCAGAAGAGGACTCACTAATGTCCTGTACAACCTCAACATGACATCCCAACTCCTATACTCAATTCTAAGGAAGGGTCACTGGACCCGAAACGTTAACTCTGAGTTTTTTCTTCACAGATGCTGCCAGACCTGCTGAGCTTTTCTAGCAACTTCTGTTTTTGTTCCTATACTCAAAGGTCTAAGCAATGAAGGCAAGTGTGCTGAATGCCTTCTTAACCACCCTGTCCATCTGTGAATGCAAATTTTATAGATCATAGTGTGGAAAACAGGCCCTTTGGACCCACAAGTCCACACTGACACTCAGAACATCCCACCCAGATCCATCCCCCTATAACCCACCTAATCTGCACATCCCTGAACACTATGGGCAATTTAGCATGGCCAATCCACCTAGCCTGCACATCTTTGGACTGTGGGAGGAAACTGGAGCACCCGGAGGAAACCCACGCAGATGTGGAAGAATGTGCAAACTCCACACAGACAGTCACCCAAGGGTGGAAATCGAATCCAGGTCCCTGGCGCTGTGAGGCAGCAGTGCTAACCGCTGAGCTATCGTGCCGCCCCATTTCATAGAATTATGTACCTTAACTCCTGGGCATTTCTGTTTGACAACACTACCCAGGGCCCTACCATTAATTGTATCAATACTGCCCTTGTTTGTTTTACCAGAATGCAATACTTCGCATTTATCCAAATTAAACTCCATCTGCCCCTCCTCAGCCCTTTGAACCAATTGAACAAGATCTGTTCGTCATCTTAGATAACCTTCTTCATGGTCCACTATACCACCAATTTTGGTGTCATCTGCAAACTTACTAACCATGCCTCCTAGATTCTCATCCAAATCATTTATGTAAATGACAAACAAAGTGGACCCAGTACAATCCCTGTGGAACACCAACAGTCACAGGCCTCCAGTCAGAAAAACAACCCTTCACCACCACACTCTGTCTCCTACCATCAAGCCAATTTTGTATTCAGTTGGCAAGCTCACCCTGAATCCCATGTGATACCATTTAACTTTACTAATTAGTCTACCATGAGGAACCTTATCAAAGGCTTTACTAAAGTCCACGTAAACAACGTCTGCCACTCTGTGCTCATCAATCTTTTTAGTTACTTCCTGAAAAAACTCAATCAAGTTTGTGAGACATGATTTCCCTCACACAAAACCATGCTGACTATCCCTAATCATTCCTTGCCTCTCCAAATGCATGTAAATCCTATCTTTCAGAATCACCTCCAACAACTTACCCATCACCGATATCAGACTCAAAAGCCTATAGTTCCCAGGGGTTCTCCACAATCACAAGAAAAGAATAAAACTTGTAGTATTATTCTGTCCTTTTCTTTTTCCAAATGGTGATGAACCTGCTGGTCATTTCCAGCAGAGTTGTTTTGTTATGTTTGCAGATTGCACCCATTAAAGATGGTGTTGATCATTAGGTACAATGATGTACAAGAGTGCCTTTTCACCTTTGTGATCAATTTCAACTTCAGACAGATTGAACGCATCAGAGTATTTGCCCTGAATATTTTTAAAACAAAAAAACAGAAGAGTCTGGGCTGGGAGCAAACAATTTTGCAACATGTGCTTGCATTCATACTAAGGAACAACAGATCTGATATTTTTTGTTGGCTGAATCATTCAAATTCTCAATAGTCAAAGCTTCACAGGAAAAGATTCGAAGTTAGCACACGCATTACCTATCCAACAGTCTTTCAATGAACTTGATAAACAGTAACAAAATTAACCTTACTCTCATGTGACTCAGAACCACTCTTTCTGTTGGAGCATCATGAAGTATGGCCCATGTTGTGTTATATTTGTAGGAATACATGAAGCAGATTTTCCTATTTCTGTGCTTCAGGGTTTTATAGGTAGTCAATAAAGGAAAATTGGTTGGAGAGGAACATACACCTATAGTGGAGCCCAACTGATTTTCCCATTGGTTACTTAAATGGAAGGAAAGCATACAGATTGTTTTACTTATAGTTTCTCTTCTCTTCTTGGGCTGTGTGCTTGTGATACAGTACCACCAGGTGAACAATTCTATACAATTCAATTTTCTAGTAGAAATATTCTTCATATGAATAAACACTAATGCACTAAATATACAAAACAAAACAAATATAATGTTCCTGCATTTCCTTAGACCTTATTGCCACCATATCAATGTGAATTTACAAGATGTGTGGCAAAAGCCCTATTTCAGAGTAATGCAGAAGCAAAAGATCATATGAGTTAATGTCTTTTTTTCAAGTACTTTGTCTGCATTATATCAGATTTAAGACACAGAAACAGACCATTAAGCCCAACTATTTTATGCTTCCTACACTATATATTCCTTCTGTTCTACTTTATTCAAATTTCTTTGCAAATCCTTCTATTCCTATGTCTTTCATGTATTCAACTACCTTTCTCTGTTAAAGGCATCAAAACTATTTGCTTTAATGACTTCATGCAGTAGCATCCCTCTTTGGAATCTCCCATAAATGGAAAGTTTTTGCTGTCTGCATTATCAGATCACTTCCTAATTTTGAATGTATTAAATCACATTTTCTGAGAAATAGTATTAGGAAAACCTTTACAGCATTAAATGAAAGATGTTCGGGATACTTTCTTTGAAGATATGCTAAGCATTACAATTGTTAATGTTATTTGGAAGAAAGTTTCAAGTGTAAAGCAACTGTAAACAGTCAATGCTGAAATGATTGATGTCAAAACTATGTAATAAATCATGCTCATATGTAACTGCGTTCGTGAACAATAATGACAAATTAGAAAATTATTATTTCTGTCCTGAGTGGTCTTACTAGTCTTCTACAGTGGGTTTTGTGAAAACTTTATTTGGTCGCATCAGGCATAGGTTTCTCATACAATGGAATTTGGAGCTTGTGCAAAGAACTTCACAAAGGTCCATTACCACAAGTGCCTAAGGAAAACCAAACAGACTGGTCCTTGTATCAACCACATTTTAATAATTTCAAAATTGTTTTGTATGCAAACTGGATTTATACCAGCGGACCTCCAAATTTAGTTTTACTAAAATGGTGGTCATTCCATGAGAAACACAGCAAGTGATTTTCTTCAACAACAAAAGCAGAAGTTGCTGGAAAAACTCAGTAGGTCTGGAAACATCTGTGAAGAAAAAATCAGAATTAATGTTTTGGGTCCAGTGACCCTTCCTTAGAACTGAGTTCTGAGGAAGGGTTACCGGACCAGAAACGTTAACTCTGATTTATTTCTTGACAGATGCTGCCAGACCTGCTGAGCTTTTCCAGCAACTTCTGTTTTTGTTCCTAATTTACAGTGTCTGCAGTTTTTTTGGTTTTTATTAGGTGATTTTCTTCAGAAGAAGCAATGAATTTGTGGTCCACATCAAATATTCTGAAAATGATTTACAAGGACAAATGGGAGCACCTGTTGAGTTACAAGTAGACTTGTGTAACATTCATATTCTTTAAAATTTCAATAAAACTAATTTTGTTAATGCTATATGTATAATATGTATATTGTCCATTGTAATAATACCATCTCTCTTTTCTCATTTCTTTTAGGCTGTAGAACTGCTCCAAATGACTTGGTTTTTATATTGGATGGCTCATTTAGCGTAGGGCCAGAAAATTTTGAAATAGTCAAAAACTGGATTGTCAACATATCCAGCAGTTTTGAAATTGGGACTACATTTACACAAGTGGGTGTTATACAATATAGTGATGATCCTTTGCTAGAAATATCATTGGACAGATACAGGTCAAATGAAGACTTGACGAAAGCAATGGAAGCCATATTATACAGGGGTGGAAACACAAGAACAGGAAAAGCTATAACATTTGGAGTTAACCACGTGTTTGCTACCTCAACCAGGGATGCTAATGCTGTGACAAAAGTGGCAGTTGTACTTACAGATGGAAAATCCCAAGACGATGTGAAGGACTCAGCAGAGGAAGCAAGGAAAAAGAAAATTATACTGTTTGCAATTGGAGTTGGTCAGGAAATAGAAGATGCAGAGCTGCAGGCAATTGCAAATAAACCTTCATCCACATATGTGTTCCATGTAGAAGACTACAGCGGTATCACCAAAATTAGAGAAACAATCAAACAAAAACTTTGTGAAGGTAAATAGTTTCTTCTTTATGTGTGCCAGAAAAATATTCTTGTGTAAGATTGAAGGTGGTTCCCAAGAAGAATTTCATCTTAGAATAACAGCCACAATTCTTCTAACAAAACATTTTTTGTTTAAAAAAGATGCTCAAATCAGTGTCATCATTCCCTGGATAATATGGTATAAGATTACAATTTTTACAGATTAAAATTCAATTGCTTTTTATTTAATATCTTTTAGATATGTTTTTTTATTTGAAAACACTAGCGTTCGTAGCATTGCTCCCTCAGGTATAGTGAGAGAGGAAGTATTAAGACACAGAATTTATAAGTAAAAGAGCAAAGGATGATACAATTGATGCAAATGTATTGAATAAACCTAAAATGGTTGGCTGACTCCCTCCTGTCAAATCTTTAATCAGTTAGAAAGGAGATACAAGTTTCGATTGATTAAAATGCAAATCTCAGAATTTCTCTCAAGTTACTGCCCTGAGATAACTAAAGGTGTTATCAGTATATACAAGAGGTGACATTTCAAGTCAGACAATACATTTTAAGTGTGAGGCCTTCTTTGGAATATGTCTGTATTTTAACCTAGAGTCAGACAGGTTTTATTTGCAAAGCAGGGATTTATAAAATGCCCCATTGACTAACTATGTCTACAGATTGTGTGCTTTTTGAACAAAATAGAATGTATCTGCAAATACAAAATTCACCCCATAGATTTATATGTATGTGTGTGTGCATGTGCGATGGTGTGTGTGTGTGTGTGTGTGTGTACGGGGGGAAAGGGGGGTGGGGAGTGTTTGCATGTGTGTGTGTGTGTTTGAGAGATAGATTTTGTGTGTGTGTGTGTGTGTGTGTGTGTGTTTGTGTGTGTGTGTGTGTTAGTGTGTGTGTGTGTGAGAGAGTGTATAGTGTAGTGGGTAGTGTGACATGAACCTAACATCACGGTTGAGGCCAGCCTCATTGGTACCGAACTTGACTAACAGCCTCTGCTTGGCGATTCTGCATTGTTGTGTATCCCGAATTTCGCCTTGGAGGACGTTTACCCGAAAATCTGGGGCCGAAGGCCCTTGACCGCTGAAGTGTTCCCCCACTGGGAGGGAACACCCCTGTCTGGTGATTTTTGCACAGTGTCTTCTCATCCATTGTCATAGTGTCTGCATGGTTTCACCAATATACCATGCCCTGGGGAATCCTTGCTTGCAGCGTATGAGATAGACAACATTGGCCGAGTCACATGAGTATCTGCCATGCACATGGTGGGTGGTGTTCCCACGTGTGACAGTAGTATCCATGTCGACGATTTGACATGTCTTGCAGAGGTTCCCATGCCGGGGTTGTGTAGTGTTGTGGTTGAGGTTGTCCCAAAGGCTGGGTAGTTTGCATCGAACAATGGCCTGTTTAAGGTTTGGTGGTTTTTTGAAACAGATCATTGCTCCATCTTTTATACTTTAGTTGAGTGTTGAGCTGAGTTGCCAATCAAGTGGCATTATTCTTGTCAAATACTTTGTTAACAGAACAGCACAACTTGATCATTCATATTCAGTTTCTGAACTTAACAAACACACTGAACAAGCTAAACGTTGAGAAAACTTGACATGGAAATCAGAGCAGATACTTAACAACTTCAGCTCGCTCCTGCCTGCAAAGAGCCTTCATGTTGATTACGACTAAATGGCATCTCAGGGCATAATCCATGGGTACCAGGCACTCACAGCAATCATCCAAGGATTTTAGCATTTGGTATTTGCTTATCCCTCACCACAATCATGGCATCTCTTTGATTCATTTGCAGGCTGCTTAGGAAGCACAGACTTGCATTACAGGGCACACTGGCAACCAGTGTTGAAAGGTTGCAGCAGAGACACTTTGAATGTGGGGATAGATACCCTGTTCATTAATTGGACTGGACTACATCCTAGGGCTGCTCGATTGCTCTCTTAACGCTCATTCCTTTCCCCCCATTCATGCTTACAGTAGCCCTGCCTTGCCTTGACATGCAGTTGGCACAGTCACACAACAGACAGCTTGCTTTGCTGGTCAGCAGTCCCCAGTCAAGAGGGCTGTACAGCAGTATGCTATGCCAGTCTCACAACTGCACCATGTAATGTAACAAATACACTGAACATGCAGCAAGCAGGCAACCAAGTCGCAGTGTCTTAGTAGAGTAGTCCTCACTGAAATCCATGGAGGCACCCATCAGTCAGGGGCTGTCAGCATTGGTTTTGAGGACTGATTGCTGGGGTGATGGAGTGTAGGTAAGTCGCCTTTCCAGCATATCTTAAAGGTGTTGGACCTGGCTGTGCATGGAAGCTGCCAACTGTCTATTGAGGTAGCAGATAGTTGCTTGACTGGCTGCACTTCTGCAACTTCTGGATATGGGAGGGATTGAGTCAGGTGAAATTGGGTGACGCTGCTGTTAGTTATGGTGCAGGTAGTAGAAACTTTGCATGGTGTTCCTAGCAGTGAGGAGGCAGCACAGAGTGTTGTAGGTTTTGGGGAATGAACGAGTGAGTGAAGATCATAGAATCATAGAATCCCTACAGTGTGGAATCAGGCCATTCATCTCATTGAGTCAACACAAGATGTTGAGAGTGGCAGAGCATGGGCCTTGGTAGGAAGTGGGTGCAGTACCAGATATAGTCAGAGTATGAAGTTGCAGAGAGAAGATTGTGACACTTAGCCTGGTGCAGCAGAGAAGGTCATTGCCCATCTTTTAGCACTACTAGTCATTCATTCAACTGTCGAGATGGCATTGACCTGGATGGTGATCCCAGACTGGACTGCCAAGGGCTGCTGGTGCAGCATCTTCTGCTAATCCTCCAGGAAGAAGACTCCTCTCCTTTGCATCACCGTCTCAACCGGGGCCTCCAAGTCCCTGACAAGGAATTCCAGTGCCTTTTCTCCTTCTCAGACATCTTCTGAAATGTTCATTACTGAGCAGGATAGCTTTGAAATGCCAGTACTGGTTTGGGTACACAGCGGCCTTTTAAAGATGTTCTTGGTGCATGGGATACAGGCCTTTTGGTGGATTTCTGCTGAGTGGTGAGTTGTTCCAGGAATGGCGCACGGCAAGAATAGGATAGAATTTGATGTGAGGAACCACCACAGGGATTGGGTAAATAGTTCATGAGGTGTGTTTGGTAACATATGGTGTGTAATCTCGCTGGACTCGTGGCCAGAATCTCTCCAACAGACTCACTCTTAGATAGAAATACATTAAGATTTCGCCTGTAGTTACAGGAAAATACTTAAAAAAATAAATTACTGCATTGGATGAGCTTGCACGGATTAAAACTAGATAAATGCAAATTAAGAACTATTATCAAGAATTTATTTAAGAAATATCTGGGAGATTCTGTGGAACTAGCATGATGGATCAACTGAAGTTTCTAAATGAAATGCTCATCCATTAGCTTATATGTAAGTAATTGAATGCAGTCCATAAGAGTAAAAATGTATGAGGTTTGTGGAAGGAATAGGATGGCAAACAAAATACTTTTATGATGTTCTACATATTTTTATATTTCACATATTGCCCGCAGGACAGGAAAGATACTTTGACACTTGACAGCTCTTGAAATTTTGCTTAGTTTTCAGTTACCTTGTGACAAGACAAAATTGCAGAATTATATGGAATACCTAGTGTGGAAACAGGCCTTTTGGCCCAACAAGTCCACACTGAATCTCAGAGCATCCCACCCAGACCCATGCCCCTATAACCCACCTAATCAACACTACGGGCAATTTAGCATGGCCAATCTACCTAGCCTGCACATCTTTGTGACTGTGGGAGGAAACCAGAGCATCCGGAGGAAACCCACGCAGACATGGGGAGAACATGCAAACTCCACACAGACAGTTGCCCAAGGGTGGAATTGAACCTGGGTCCCTGGCGTTGTGAGGCAGCAGTGCTAATCACTGTGCCACTGTGCCACCCCCAATTGTTGCAGGTTAGGAGGCGATTGATCCATTGTGCATGTGCCAGTCCTATTGCCGATTCAAAGCCTTTTTCCCCATGTTCCTGCACATCATTTCTATTCAAGTAATCATCCAATGCCCTTTTGGATACCTTGATTGAACTTGCCTCTATCACATTTCCAGGCAGTGCATTCCAAGCCCTAACTAATTGCTGTATGAATAAGATTTTTCTCACATCATCTTTGCTTCAGTTGCACATTACTAGGAACTCCACTTCTTCCAGCCTGAAAAATATCCATTGACCTTTTTCCTATCTCTCAACCAATTTTGTATCCAAGTAGCTACTGTCTCTTTTATACTATGACCTGTTACTTCCCTCACAAGTCTATTGTGTGGCACTGTATCAGACACCTTGTGGAAATTCATGTATACCATGTCAAAAGTATTACCTTGGTTCACTCTTTTCATTTTTCTTCAAAAAACTCCAGCAAGTTAGTTGAATGTGATTTTCTCTTTTAATATTGTATTAAACTGTATTAAAATCTGTCAAACCTTGCAGAGATTTTCATGTTTACAGCCCCCAAATGCCAGCATGATTCAAAGTGGATTAGCTGAAAAATAAAATGAGCGACTGGCTTGCTGCCTTCTGGCTCACCCCTGACTATCCTATCATATTACCATGGATGAGCAAGGCACAATTGCCTTATTGAAACCTTTAAGTGGCCAATTAATGACCACTTAAGTTCCCTCATTCCAAATATGTCAGTATAATATGTGTGGCCCCCTCCAACTCCATTTTCATTCGTTCCCTACCCTCCCCTTCACTTTTTCTTTTTCTTAGGCGTTGCTCCTACCAAGCTCTGCCTGGCACTGGATCCCTGACTACATGGGCGTTTTTCCTGGTGGTGGAAAATGTTAAGTAAAATTATCTTGCACATTGTGATTTTAGAAAAAAGAAAAGAAAGAGAAAATAGAAAAATGTATATAAAATGTATGTCAGGGGAAGGTAGAAGCAAGGCAGTCAACCAAGCTGCTTTCAATGCACACCATGCTGTAGGGTAGGAAGTGGGCTTACCTCCTATGTCAGCCATTTATGTCCATTGGAGGCAGCACCCCCGCTTCCGTCTCTACCCAAGATCATAGCAAACCTTAGATATCTGTCTAGCTTCCCACCCTCAACCCCTCTCATTGCACAGGTCTCTGTTGGGCAGATATGACCAAAATCCATGAACTAATGTGAAATTCAGGATCTATCAACCTTCTTTCTAATTCCAAATGTGCTAGAACTACAGAGCTGTTAACCAATCTGATTGGCTAGCACATGTATAGGGTAGGATATCCTTCTAGACGGAGGTAAAAGCCATGCTTTCACTTAATTAACATTGTCCCAATTAGGATAACACTGCAGTGCAAGTGGGTTTCAGATGTCATACACATCACGGATTGTGTACTTTTAATTTCAAAACATTTCTTTCTGTCTTTTCAGAGACTGTCTGCCCTACAAGAATACCTGTGGCATCTCGAGATGAAAAAGGCTTTGATATCCTTGTTGGATTAGATATTAGGAAAAAAGCCACTAAGACCGAAGGGTCTTACCGTGGCAAAAAAGCTTATAGAGTTACATCACAGAGTGATTTAACAGAAAAAACAAGGTATTTGTTTTCAGGATTTGTTTATTCATAAATTCAATTCATTTTTTCTTTGCAGAAGTATTGCTGGAGAGTTTGTGCTGAACTCTAATTCATAAGCCAAATATTTTGATTTCAGGGACATTTTTCCTGATGGCCTTCCTCCTTCCTATGTCTTTGTGTCCACATTACGATTCAAGAGACCAGTAACTAAGGAAAAATGGGATTTGTGGAGAATTCTTGCTGTAGATGGCACAATTCAAACAGCAGTTACATTGAATGGAGAAGACAATACAGTAATCTTCCATACAACACATAAGATAAATGATACACAGTCTGTGACTTTCATTTCTCCTTTTATAAAGGTAAGAAACATGTGAGATACTTTTTATTTTATTCTGCTCGATTACTAGCATCTTTAGTAGAGACGTACTTAAGCAATATTTTCTGTGGCTATATAGAATTGTAATTTATTTTTATTACAAATTCTATCTGTAGACTTCTAACCAAAAATGTTATTATTGCCTTATAGTTTAGGAGATAGGAAATGAGTAGAAACCATCTTGTTTGTGGATTTCCATTTTGAAATTACAAATTTCTGTTAGAAAAGTTAACTTAACGTCACATTGTGACTAAATTTCTATCTTGTTCTTGTTTTTAATGTTTTGCTATTTTCATGTACAGTTTCTGAACCCTCAACTCTTCGTCAATTTTTAACTTCGTAGCAATGAACTATAGATATTTACACACAAATAGAACAGTAGTTAAGGTAATTTAGTTGTGTTGGTGTTTCGGTGATTTGAGTTTTGCCAGTCCTTTAGTGAAAGGCTTGGAAGGTGAGAAGGCTGGAAAAATCGTGTTGGGTGTGTAGGGTATCTGAAGTCATTGCCATACCATTTTGCCGGCCATAGCACACATGAGGAAGGTGATAGCCAGGAGGAAATAGAAAAAAAAAGTAAAGATGTGTTATGCTTCATTTCATATATATAAAATATAGCTTTTCATGCAAACATTAGAAGTTACAATGTTCAGTTCATGGCTATGACCATGTGTTCACTCTCAGGTGGTCCTGGAATCAGGGCTAATGTTAATATATCCAATTTCTGACTGTTTGAACAGATTGAATATGTCAAAAAATGTTTGAAATCATTAGAGTAAAAATGGGAGGAGATGTTTGTTGCTGATTGTAAACTTGATCAAAAAGCAAAAGTTTTACTAAGGAATGAGATACTCCTCAGGCCATGGTGACAGAGGAGGACACTGAATCACAAGAAGTATTGAAAATTGCTAAGAACAAGGTATTGGATAGACTGTTGGCACTTAAAGTTGATAGGCACTGGGACAGGATGAGATGCATTTAAGGATATTGAAGGAAGTGATTGGAAATTGCAGAGGCACTCAATAATCTTTCAATCTTTAAGGTTGTAGCAAAGATTTTTATCTTGGGTTGTGGGTGAGGTTGCTGAGTTGCTCGCTGAGCTGGCTTGTTTTCGTTCAGATGTTTCGTCACCATGCTCGGTAACATCATCAGTGAGGCCTCCGATGAAGCGATGTTGTTCTACTCCGCTTGGAATTTATCCTGCCTGGTCCGTTATGGTGAGTAGTGTCATTTTCAGTTTTGCTCTGTATGGATTTGAATATGGATTACTATTATATATTATTATAATATGTATTACCATAATGCAATCAACAAATATATGGACTTGGACCCCCCGATATACAAATCCATACAGAACAAAACCAGAAATGACACTACTCACCATAACGGACCAGACAGTATAAATTCCAAGCGGAGTAGAACAACATCGCTTCATCGGAGGCCTCACTGATTATGTTACCTAGCATGGTGACGAAACATCTGAACGAAAACAAGCCAGCTCAGAGCGCAAGTCAGCAACCTCAATCTTTCCTTGAGTCAGTGTGCAACAGGACTGTGAATTTCCAAATACAGCTCCTATTTCAGAAAAGGGTGTAAGGATAAGCTAACTATACAGACTAGTCTGTTTAACATCAGTGGTGGAGAAACATCTTGAAACAATTATTCAGGATGGAATTAATAGACAAATGCGGGTTAATAACACAGATACAGCACAAATTTGTAAGGGAAAATTGTGTTTAATTGACCTGTATTTTTGTCAAGATAACAGAAAAAGTTCAAGAGGTTAATGCTGTTAAAGTAATGTATATGGATTTTTGAAAGGTATTTGATACAGTGCCACACAGAGACTTGTGAGCAATGTTATTGGTCGTGGAATAAATGGGGCAAGCAATGTGCATTCAGTTGGCTGAGTGCTTGGAAATAGAGAAATAGGAAATACAGAATTAGGAAATACAGAATAATGGTTAATGAATATTTTTTGGTCTGGAAAAAGGTTTGTAGTGGGATCAGTTTGGGACCTTTGTTTTCTAAATATATATATATATTCTGATCTAGATTTTGGTAGTAAGGGATAATTTCCAAGTTTGCGGATGATTCAAAACTTGAGAGCAAAATAAGTTTTGAGGACAGTTTAAAACTACAAAAGAACATTGACAAGTTGGTGGAGTGGGCAGGTGCGTTTAATGCAGAAAAGAGTGAGGAGATGCATATTAGTAGAAAGAGCATGGAGATGCAGTATAAAGTAAAAGGTGTTATCCTAAAGGATATGTAGAAGTAGAGACACCTGGTTGTACATGTGCATATGTGGGAGGACAGGTAGAGTAAACATGCGTATCCTTGGCTTTATTGATGGCAGCAAAGAATATGGGAGCAAGGAAGTTAAGCTGAACTTATATAAGATGCTAGTTAGACCTCAACTGGAGTATCTGGGCACCACACTATTGAAATGATGTGAATACATTAGGGAGAGTGCATAAGAGGTTTACAAGACTCGTTCTACAGATGGGAAACTTCAGTTCTGAAATTGGAGAGGTTCGGGTTGTTTACTTTGGAGAGGAGATGCTGAGAGGAAATTTGATAGAAGTTTTCAAAATCTTGGGATGACTGGATAGAGTAGATAGAGAAAAACTATTCCCTCTCATAAAAGGATTGAGAATGACAGAGCATAGATAGAAGGTAGTTTACAAAAGAAACAAATGTGATGACAGAAAATTTTTTTTCACATAGCGAGTAATTGGGAATGCACTGCTGGAAAGTGTAGCGGAGGAAAGTTCACTTGAAATATTCTGAAGGGCATTAGATGATTATTTAAACAGAAACAATATGCAAGAGTATGGGAAAAGGGCGGGAAAATGGGACTGACTCAGGATGCTCATTCACGCTGGTGCAGACATGATGGCCTGACTAACTTCTGTAAAAATACTGTTATCCTGAAGTACCCTAGTGGAGTGAAAGATATGGTATGAATCACGAAAGGGATATATGTACCGAATTTGGTAAAATACTACTCTAGGTGCATTTGAGTGTTAACAATAATTGTTTGCTTGATTTTGTATCTTTAGAATTATCCCTATAGAGTGGATATCATCAAAGAAGAAGGAATTTTATTCTGCTGCTGTATTTTGTGGAGTGAATGTTAGATACACTTGAGAGATTTCCTGTCATCAGAAGACTTTCATATTCTTAATGCTTTTCACAATTCAACAACTTAATGATACAGTCAGTTATGTAGTTTCCTGTTTCTGTTGAATATAGATGTATTCTACTGCGTAGGAGTGAATTTACAGATGAATGGTTTCAGTGAATAGGGTGCTCATGGTTTCTTATCTCACCAGCCTCTGCAAACTAAGATAAGCTACTATCTTCAAAATGTGGCATTGTACAGCTTTAAGTCATTACAGCACAGAAGGAAGCTCTTGGCAGCAATCTAGTCAGTCCATTCAGTTGCTCGATCCATATGGCTCTGCAAGCTAAATTTTCTTAAGTGCCCATTCTATTTTTTAAAATCGTTGATCGTCTCTGCTTACATCATCCTCATAGGCAGCAAGTTCCATGTCATTGCCACTCACTACACAAAAAGTTCTTCCTCACATACCCCTGTATCTCTTACCCAAAACCTTAAATCTTCCACCCTTAGTTGTAGTGCCATATGATAATGGGAACCATATTCATAGTCTCCCTTCCCTAAATATGTTATAATCTTGTACAAAATTAATTACATCTCTCCTTAAACTCATTTTCCAAGGACAACAATCCCAGGTTCTACCCCTTAACCTCGGAGCTAAAATTCCTCATCCATGAAGCATTCTAGTTAGTATCTTCTGCACCTACCCAAGGTCCCTTACATCTTTAAGGTGGTGACTGTACCAAACACATTACTTTTGTTGTAGCCTAAATATAAATATAAGTATTCAGCGTAATTTATCTGCTTTTGTACACCATACCTCTGCTTTGGAAGTCCAAGATCCCATGTACTTTGGTAACTGCTTTCTCAGTAGGTCCTGCTATCTTCAAAGCTCCATGCACATGAACTCTCAGGGCCCCATGTCTCACCGATTACTTTAGAAATGTGCTATTAAATCGAAATTGCTTCTGCTTCTACGTTCTGCCAGCCCGTCTATATCCTGTTCAATTTAGTGGTGACATCCTGTTTATCACACGTCCATATATCCTTGTTATTTAATAATATAAATATTATATTGAACTTGTATGGGATGTTGGTGAGGCCTCTTCTAGAGTACTGCGACCAGTTCTAGTTGTCCTATAATAGGAAGGATATTATTAAGCTGGAGAGGGTTCAGGAGAGGTTTACCAGGATGTTGCTGGGAATGGAGAGTTTGAGTTATAAGGAGAGGCTGGATAGCCTGGGACTTCTTTCACTAAAGCGTAGGAGGTTGAAAGGTAACTTCATAGAGGTTAATAAAATCATGAGGGGTATGGATAAGGTCATTGGCAAGTTGTCTTTTCCCTAGGGTGGGATACTTCAAAACTAGGGGCATATTTTTAAGGTGAGAGGAGAAACATTTTTTAAAAACATGGGAGAATTTTTTTCACAGAGTGGTTCACATGTGGAATGAACTTCCAGAGGAAGTGGTGGATGTGGGTGTAGTTACAACGGTTTAAAAGATGTTTAGATAAGCCCATGAATAAGAAATATTTGGAGAGATATAGGCCAAGCATAGGCAGGAAGGACTAATTTAGTTTGGGATTATGATTAGCATGGGCTAGTTGGATCGAAGGGTCTGTTTCCTTGCTATTTGACTCTATGACTCTATGTCAGATTAACTGCCTTCTTGGAGATCTGTTCAATCACTTAAGTGTTTAAGTGGCCAGTTAAGAGCTACCCGCTGCCTTCCACCAGTGTTTTGTCCTCATTGTGGTGTTGGAGATGGAGCTCCCACTTGAGGGATGCCACCAAGTGAATCTCCAATCTTACTTATTTTTGGGTACCCCATGATCTACTGAGGGGTCCCTGTAGGAATCTAT